CGCAGTGTGAAAACGAGCAAACCTGTCACGGGCCGCCTCCGATGAGCCCGGTCGGCGGCGTGAGGTCCGAAAGAAGTTCAACACACGTGCATGCACAGCAGGGTTGGAACATCATCGGGGAAGCGGGACCAACCGGTGGATCAACACTCGGAGAGCGTCTCCTAAATGTTTACACTCGAAATTGAAATGGCGCTATCGCAGGCTGGCGGCTTCATTCACTCCTCCGTTCCAGAAGGGAGAGAGAATTGGTGTGAAGGATTAGCCCCATTAGCCCCTTATCTCAGCTCGATAAACCGTTGGTGAATATCACGGGGAACTGAATAATGGTCCATTTGGAGAGCCGACTAACCTCACGAGCTGGATTTCTACTGTCGACCACCACGTACATGCCATCAGTCAATCAGATTGTAGGGGAGACAAATGGATATCAAGTTTTGTTTTGTCAGTGCCGTTTTGACTGATGGACCAATCGTGGCTCTCGCAAAGCAAAGTCTTGAACACAAATTGTTACAACCATTTACGAAGGTGAATCGGCTATGCTGAGACCGCACATACAAACAATACGAATCAAAACGCATGCGCGACTTATTTCACTGTCCAGATGGACTCATGTTAATAAAAACGAATAAATAAAATATATTGACCAGAATCTGTTATAATTTCAAGATATTAAACACAATCGCCTCTAAAAGGATTTTCAGTCCCAAAATTCTCCCAAACCATTGTTTTCTATCAGCAGGTGTTAAAGCAGTTCACAAGTTAAATGGGTTCCTGCATCGCAAGACCCTGAGAGATGGTGATGGCTTGGGGAGGCCTTCATCCAGCAGTGGATAGACCATGTGCCTCATCAGCAGAGTGTTCAATTTATCCTGCTGGGCTGCTATCTGACCTGAAAGGGAAGATATCTTTCATCATCACCGAGTCCCGTTGAGCGTGAAGTGTTATCCTCACCATCGTCGTCGTCATCATCATAATAACTAACGAGGGTGAAATCTGGCAGAATCATTAAGCGCCGTCGTTTTGACCTATCCTTAGTGGCACAGTCCACTGAGGCGGTCTGAGTAGGAAAACATTTTGTGGATAATGCCCAAGGTTCTTGAAGGTTCAGTGGAATTGCCCAGGACTGGAAGAGCCAAACTTAAAGCCAACCTACTGAGGATTATAATATTGGCAGTCCCCAGGTGCTTGCTCACGTCCGTCCGCGTGTGTGTGGCTGCGCTGGGCTTTATTTTTTTATTTATTCTTTCGGCTTGCTTATTTTCTTTCCCTTCAAAACCCAATTTCGCCAAACGTCTAACGGTTGTCTTGGCAGGCCATGAAGCGTGACGCTTGTCTCAACTGTCAGCGAGTAGAACGTGCCGCCGGACATTCTAGCATCTACAAGTTCACATACATGCACAAGTTCAAGCAACACTTTTGTGTGTGTGCATGTGTGGAAAGTGAGTGTGGTGTCTGCGTTTACAGTAGTCCCTCGGTTAATGGTGACATCGGTTAACGGGTTTTTCGGTTAACGTTTCACCTCCCATAGGGGGGGACCCCATGTTTTCGACTAACGTAAAAAATTTGATCAACGGTACATTTTGGTACATTATGCACGCGGGGCGCCAATTTCGACCAATCCGAGCGCTCGTAATTGGAGCTCAACCATGCCCTGAGCCAATCAGCATGGCCCATTTATGAGCGTTTTGACCTCGACTGGCTTTGTTAACGTTTTGTTTTCTGTTTAGGCGGTGGAAACGGCTCTCTCTTCGATTTACATTTATTTCGGCCGATGGTCGTTTTCGTGGAACGGATTAAAAACGTTAAACGAGGGACTACTGTACATATATCTGTGACTTTTATGATGTGTGTTGCCTCCTTCTGATATTTAATGATGTCAAACAGTTATTTGCCAATGAAAGCCTCACAAGTCTGAGGACGTTCGGTAGATAATATGCCATTGGTATTGAGCGGATATAAAAATGTTTTTTTCCCCGCAGCTATAACACTCTTACTCGTACATGAGTTTTGGGAGTTTGCATTTGTACCTAAAGAGCCCTAAAGTTGCTCTAATCTGTCACTGTGAGCCTCGAGCTCCTGAAGAATCCGCAAGGGGCCTTCATCAGAATAAGTCGGAAGTTTTTCCTCCCCCCCCCTCCCCGCCACCCCACCGAGACCATTGAGCTCTGTCGCTCTTATTTCCAAGAGTGACCCGGCCAGCCGACTCATTACGTGCGGACGCGTGCGGTGCGTTGCCGCGTGGGGCTGCTTAAGATGTTCAAATCGCTCGAATATTCCATGACAAAGCGTCACGCATGCATACATGTGTAGTGAGTGACTTCAGAGACACTAATAGTAGGAGGCGTACACGTTTATTCTACACTTTCCACAGTATAGGGGATAACTATATACGGGTCAGGACAACCGGCACACTGCCTGACCCAACACCGACGAGGAGGTGAAGACCTCGTAGATGACGGCTCCATTCCCAAACCACAGCAGCCCCAACCCAGTGTCGGGGCCCCCCTTTTATCCTCCCCAGCGTGGCCTGGCTCCGCCCTCGGCCACGCCCCCTTCTGGAACCTAGCAGAAGGTTCTGGGCTCTGCCCCACGTGTCCCCTCTGTCACCTTTCCCCTACATTCGTGCCTATCACGTGCCCTACTGGCAGATCGGCCGCCTATCCTCAAATGCCCTCCAGGGCACACTCCACTTTCCCTGCTGGTAGACCAGGCTATTACACCCATGATCCCGCTCACTACCAGTAACCAGCACTACGCGCCATAGTAACCCATTCGATGTCACCACACGCACACAATACAACGCACGATATGTTATACTTGCACTTTGAAGCAACTGTACAGCATGGTGACTGCTCATGTCCATATACTCGTGTACGTATGAAATCTAAATATGAAACGATACAATTAAGTATATAATCCAGATCAAGCCTCCTGGGATTCACGTGTTGTCACCTCCACTCTAAATCCCTCTCCTCTCCCCTGCCCCCTGTGAAAACAAGACGCTGCTCCTGCATGCAGCTAACTTCTGCTCGCTCTTTCGGTCTCTCTTCTCCCTCTCTTCCCTCTCCTCTCACCATCATCACCCTCTCATCCCCAACATGAGTTAAAATGCATTTCTTTAAAGGTGTTTTTTTGTTTAGTTGTCCTTCCCCCGCACCTCCGAATAGCACGATTGGCTATGTACGGTGTGACTGAAGTTCAACATTACATTGCTCTGGCACAGCGATGCAAAGCTTCTCGAACTACGTGGCCAAAAAAAAAAAAGACGTTGCATTGTGTTGAAATCCAGATGGAATATCAGACTGGGAATTGCTCGGATTCCTGGCCACACAGATTTACCCAGGCCTGCCCACTATCGTAAAGGACCGGTTCAAGTACTCGCCACTATTATCTGGCCCTCTGTCACTTCTTCCCCTCCCGTTTCTGCCGGGCACTCCTCCTTCTGTCCTCTCCCGCTCATCTTGCCCTCTCTGCCCCTTTTTGCGCAACTGACTCTACCCCCCCCCCTTTCCCGCGATGTGGTGCCACGTGTGACGAGGGTTTTTAGGAACACAGCTTAAGGAATAGTTGTCGCGCGAGTTGTGATGTCACGACGTTTTTTGAGCGCCGCCCAGCTCTCCGGCGGCAGACGCGACTCGTTAACGTGACGTTTGTTTGTGTTGCGAGTCACATGTTTCATTGGCGATGATGTTGATAGTGATGAGCAGTGTAATGATTCGGAAAATAACATTGACGAAGTTGATTATGAACGTCAATATTTTGATAACTGCAATGTAATTAAAATGCCGATTGAATAAGTTATGATAATGAAGTTTATAATGACGATGACCTAACGTGATCAGGACGACACAATTTATGATGATGATAACAAAGATGAATATGCTGACTATTCATGTTAATTCATGATGACGATGACATGATTATGCACATTGATAATGATGAATGGTGACGAGGTTGATTGAGACAACGACGATGATGATGTTGAAGATTATTGATGATGTCAATGATAGCGAAGTCCGACGATAATTGTGTTCATTGTAAAAACTTTTTGACAATGATCATTGACAATAATTGGGTGCTAACGTTTAATGTGACCGAATCGCATGACCAAAATGCGCACCGATCCCGAAAGCCGAGCCGCGTTGAGCCTGGATATTGTTTGGATGCACGAACGACCATGCATGACAGGTGTCATTGGTTGTATGTTTGGTGAGATGTTAACGCCCTCGCCTGGTATGCAAGAGGTCATGGGTTCGATTTCACCCCGACGGCTGTTGTATATTTGGAGTTTGCATGCCTCTCTCCCCGTGGTCGCGTGGATTTGTCTCGGAGTCTTCCAATTTTTTTACTCCACATTTAAAAACACGCAATTAGAGTATTTAGCTGCTATACATTTCCAAGTGGTAAGCCACATAATTGAGTTATCATTTGTGGCCAGGTCACTTCTCAAAAAGTGATATGCTGAAAATGCCGCTGCTGTACTCTACTCCCGTGTGCGTCGCTCGTCTGTGCCGTCTCACCTTTGTCAGCCTACGCCAGCCAGCGTGGTGAAGTATCCCGTTACATTCCATCGCCGACGCAGCATCGGGAAGCCTCCGTCCAGTAGCGGATTAACAAACAGCTGCACGCGTCTCGCTGCGATGATGATGATGATGGTGACGGTGTGTGGGGACTAGTGGCCACGATGTAACATCTACTGCTCACCCCCCCCCCCCCCCCGCGGCGGGGTCAAGTGCTGCAAGCGAGCACCCTACAAAGGCCCCGAGCGTCGTCACTCAAAGCCGCCTTTGTCTCCCCGACACTGATGTTTACACACCCGCACCAGGTGCCGTGTCGGCCTACGGGAGGCCGAGGACCGGCGCCGATGTTGGCCGTGAGCAGGCGAATCGTGCTGGGGGGGGGGGGGTGGTGGTGGAGGGGTGGTGGAGGAGAGGTGGTCACCGGTCTTGTTGCGTGGCGTGCTAACCGCTTGCCCCATCGTTCATTCCTGTGCCTCCCAGGTGAAGCTGTCTTGTGGAAAGGACACGGTGGTGGTGTCCACGTCGGAGCCGTCGCGCTGCGAGTACCTGATGGAGGTGCAGACGCCAGCCCTGTGCCAGGAGATGACGGGAGACAAGTGGGCCGACAAGCACACGGAGCTGTGATGCTTCTCTTGAGGTGTTCAAGAGCCCCCCTCCCCTCGCCCCTCCTTCCCCCTCCCCTCCCCCGTGGTAACCATCATAGTTGTAAATGGTGCTTCTCGGTCTGGCTTGTGTTGTTCAAGTTCGCTCAAATCCCCACGGTCAATTTGGCCAGTTCTTTTTTGTTTTCATTGGGTAGGTGCTGAAAAGAAACACGACCGAGCACCAAGGTTTAGTTTTTTGTTGGATCATCTTCACGAGAGTTGTGCAGTGCCGCTCACAGGTTTTTCATGGCCAAGATTACAATGTTTTGGGCGAGATTGCCGCCAGTGTAGATTGGGGTCATCGCACCGCCAACTTCAGGCCCAAGACCGGAGGATATTTTCAGATTTTTGGCAACTGCCTGACGATGCCGGTTTGTGTAACGACCAGCAAAAACGTCCGTGAGCAATCGTTAAATGTGTGCGGATCGCCCCCCCCCGCCCCCCCCAACAAAACCGGGCGGTACCGCCAAGGCGGTAAACAAATTGTCACGTTTGTTTTGCGTGACATCTGAATTCATTGGCTACGAGAGGGGAGCAGGAGGGTTTTTTTACGACACACGTTTTACTCGAGCGGGCGATCCGACCCGAAACAAAAAAAACCAGTTATGAGTCACAGACCGCAGGCGGCGATCACTCGCTGCATCAGCCACCCGTGTTTAGCCGAGTCCAACTTTTGCGGTTTGAGCCCAGGAGAGGTTCACATCTTCACCGCTGGCGTTATGCGTGTACGTCATGTATGTTGAACCCCACCGCACGGGGGCGGGGAGGAAGGCCGTTGGTTCGATCCCAACGCCTGTCTATTTGGAGTTTGCGTGTCTCTCTCCCCCTGGTCCTGTGGAATCTTCATCCGGGTCATCCGGTTTTTCCCTCCACGTTTAGAATCAACATGCGTTTAGAGTATTTGGCCACTAAAAAATTCCACGTGTTACTGCACTCCACTTCGTTGAGCTATGATTTGTGATAGCCAGGTCGCTTCTGAAAAAAAGAGCTACGTAGCTCAAGTGGGCCTTACCTGGTAAAAAATTAAAAAATCTGTTGAATTCGTTTAGTTTTAGAACCCACGACCTTCACGTTGAGAAAATTACTCAATCTCCTCCAACCACCGTAACGACAGCAACGACAACAACTACTGCCGGCGAGAGAGACCTCCATTGCTCCTGCGCTTCCCCCCCCCCCCCCCGATCGTAAACGCTGGATGTCGTCCCCTTAGCGAGAGAGAATTTCTGCGGCGGCTCCCATTAGAAGGGAGTTCGTGCTGAGATGGCGGCACCGAGGGTCTTGACGTTTACCAACGAACGCGTCGAAACGTCGTTTCGCCCTCGTTCCCTCCGCCCCTCGGCCGCCGAGGTGCGGGAGGCTTCCGTGACCTTCTGGTCCGCGTGCAAGTTTTATGACGGAACGGCAACAACAACAACAGCAACAACAACGGGTCGCGTCTCCCGCGGCGACGGAATGGAACGCAGAAACAATTACGCTAATGATTCCGAGTTGGCGAAAATACTCGCGAATTTCCCAGTGCCCTGCCGAGGCAACCTGGGCTGCCGGGGTTGGGGGTAGGGCGTGAGGGTCATGCCACCTCACCCAGTGACTGAGGCAATTGCTGCCAAGGCTTGGTGCTATTTATGCCGCGTCTCCGTTGTGCTGCGCTCACGTTCCTGCTTGGGGGGGGGGGGCGGCGTGGCGGTCAGAGCGTTCCACTCGCAGTTGGAAAGAGTCGCGCGTTCAAACTCCACCTCTTGGTGGGAGGGGGGTGGTGTGAGGGGGGGGGGGGGGGGGGGGTTGAGGCACCCGCACCCCCCCCCCCCCCACCGCACGTCCGATCCGCAGGGTTGGCTGCGCACGGTGTGAAAGAATTTCAACATCATCCCTCTGCGGTTCGTAAAATAGGTACCAACTTGTGAGGATCTGAACTGAGGTTTTGTCGTATTGAAAAGAATGGCATCCCCCCCCCCCCTTGCAAACATCATCGTTATATCATCGACTGTGATGGATTCACTGCTGGATGAAGGCCCCCACAAGCTGCCTCTCGTGGTTATTTGTTGTTGGTAATTCAGTCAGCACCTATGCACGAGCTGGTCGCTCGGCTCCTTCTCGACAGCGGGCGTTCCTCTCAGCGTTCCCTCCTTGCTCTGGCCCCCCGCCAGAGGAATGGTGAATTTCCAGAGACTGGCAGCGGGTGCACTTGCCCCCCACCCCCCACCCCCCCACGCCTGTCTGCCAGCTCATTTCAACAGTCAGATGTTTTAAGAAAAACATTAAAAACATACAAATGCATTGGACATTCATCATATTCAGTCAATTTAACTTTATACTTCTCTTCCGTGTGTTTGTAGGTCGCTGGAAGGGTCCGCACGTGGGGAAGGTGTCGGTCGTTTTTCTTTTCCAAGGCAACTGAATTGTCCCTCGTTCCACTGTGATTCATGTTCTCTCATGATACAATTCTACATCTCGAGCGACTGGTCACCACAACGTCAAGTCCATTGCACTGAATCGAGCTGCTATGCTCCACACGACAAGTCAGCCGACCCAAGTTACCATTTTCCAAGTGTTTTTTGTTTGTTTTTTTAGCACACAGGCCATGTTTATTTGGTCAAAATATGTCTATACCGCTTTTGCTGACTTAATTGTGAAGTAAGACAAGAAAAAAGTCAATCGCTGAAACGAAAATAAATTGTGTTTTCGTCAATTCGCCTGGCGCACTTGTGTAAGTAATTGAGACCAGAATGACAGTGGTTTTGACTTTCACCGAGTCACAGACTACCACCGTAAGCCATTGGTTGCCCGCATGCTTTGGCGGGGGAGGCCACGGATATGCACACAACACAAACAATGTGGATTGCAGCGGTGTTGAGTAATAAATGTTCATGAAGATGCCTTAGCATTGCCTAAGATGGTGGAATCTTTTTTTTACGGTACTAAGTCAAAACATTTTGCGCCTCTGTTCTCTCCAGCAAGTACTTGGCGGGAGCAGGGGGGGGGGGGGGTGGTGCTGATGCTCATCTTCATCGGTAGCCTCCAGCCACTGGTGGAAATCCCACATCACAATGTTGGGGTTCAGTCTCAACCATGGGATGCCCACTATTGGCTTTCCACAGAGCAGTACTTTGTTTTATGGATCCCTGGATGGATGATGGGTTGTTATCAATGCTCGATGAGGATTTGAACTTGTGACCTTAGGATTCTTGGTTGAATTCTGGAACCCCCACGGCGCCTTTCCATTGGCCAAATATTTCAAAAGCCTCTTAAAGTGCATGAATGACTTACGGCTTCAAATCATGGTGAGAGTTTACACATTTACCATCAGGATAATTTTCCATTTAATTCTTACCTCATCAGCATTATCACCATTATCTTCCACCCTTCGCATCCCATCAGCATCTTAGATCCATCCATCCTATCTTCATCAGCATCTTCTTCCGATGTCAGTAATGTTAGCACCACTTTTGTGATCCTCTACCACTTGTTGGGATAAATACAAATTGGATGGCTTACGGAGGATCTCGTCATTGGAATATGGAATTTCCACCACTGGCTCAAGACCACGAACTTGCCGCTACGCTTTTGCCCAGAGCTCGTTGAAAATCGACAGCGATCAGATGGCCCAAACGTCCGATCGTCCCCCGTCGGCGAATAAAAACTATTTTTGTTGTTCATTTAGTGAAGTTGTAATCGGCCTGCGTGCAGTCCACCCAGATCGCCGACTATTCAATTTTGTCACGGCGTAATGAAGACGTGTAGGGGCAGGCGTGTGGTTTTTTTCCCCCCTTTTAAAGATAATGGTTGGACCTGCAATTCCTAAACTTGCATTCCTTTAATTTTGGGGTTCATGTCGCACATCTGTTGATGAAAAAAAAATCAAATTTCGGATCACTTTGCAGTTTTACCACCCCCTTGAATATCCTGTGAACTCTTCGGTGCGGGGCTGTGTTTTGCGAATGCTTTTTTTCTGGCGTGCGTGTTCTGTTCACGTGCAATCCAATTGTTTTGTCGGGTCCGGGTATCGATCTGGCACTGGTGTAACTCTGTCGTCCGTTGATTTGTGGAATAAAAGTCGATGCTGGTGGGGTAATTGCTCCAGTGAATGTTTGGAACTGTGATTTAAAGTCATTTCAGGTTTGTGTGTGTGTGTATATGCATGTTGGCCCAAAAGTCAGAACACATAGGGTTATTTCCCTTATTTCAACACTGGCATTAAAGCATTTTTTGTTTATTATCTAAGTTAATATTTAATCTATTATCATCGCTGTATTAATGTCTATTTCCCTTCTTCCCGTGGGGGATCGCCTCGGATCCATTATTTACGAAACTCGACCAAGAACACTGAATGAGTTGAGGCAAAGCATAATTGACGAATATTCAAAGACTAAACCTGTAATATTAAACATAAAAGTCCAAGATTCGTTTCAAGAGAGTATGTGTGCATCGTGCGTTAACGTGAATGGAAGTCGGTTTTAACATTTGTTAAAATCGGTGAACTGGCCCTACGTGTCATGGCATTTGGGCCAGCCTCTACATATATATTTGCACGCGAGGCATTACACTATGTAACGCAATTTTTGTTCCTGGGTCGTAAGTGTTATTTCGCAATTGCGTATGCCTAAAAAATATAGAAAATGGCAATTATTCTCCACAAACTTTGCTTTTGTGACCAGGACAGTGATATTTTGAAATGTACATTTTTTCAATGAGAAAACGGGCGAATTTGTGTCTTTTAGTTCACATAAAGTCAGAAAAAAAAACATGAATCAAAATTAACGTATATTTATACTAAAGTAATACAAAAATTACTGCAAAAGATTTAGAAGTGAGTAGTTTTTCGAGATTTACAATGATACTGTAAATCACTTTCACGAAACAGCCCCCAAATGTAGTCTCCCATCATGTTCTCGTTATACTGTCCTTGGTAGCGGCGTTCAACGTCCAGTATATCCTGGTGGAAGCGCTCGCCTTCCTCCTCCGAGTACGCTCCCATGTTCTCCTTGAATTTATCAAGATGAGCATCAAGGATATGGACTTTGAGGGACATCCTACAGCCCATTCTGCTGTAGTCCTTCACCAGAGTCTCAACCAGCTCCACATCGTTTTCGACCTTGTGATTGCCCAGGAAGCTACGAACCACTGCGACAAAGCTGTTCCAAGCCGCTTTCTCCTTATTAGTGAGCTTCTTGGGGAATTCATTGCACTTCAGGATCTTCTTTATCTGTGGTCCGACGAAGACACCGGCGTTGACCTTTGCCTCAGACAGCTTAGAGAAGAAGTCTTCAAGGTACTTGAAGGCTGCCGACTCCTTATCTACAGCTCTGACATTGTTTCATGAGGCCCAATTTGATGTGCAGTGATGGCATCGCCTTCCGGGGGTCCACCAGTGGCTCCCACTTGACGTTGTTCCTCCCCACAGAGAACTCGGTCCGCTGTGGCCAGTCCCGCCTGTGGTAGTGCGTCTTGGTGTCCCTGCTGTCCCAAAGGCAAAGATAGCAGGGAAACTTGGCAAAACCGCCTTGGAGACCCATCAGGAATGCCACCATTTTTAAGTCTCCGATTACCTCCCAGCCATATTCATCATACTTCAAGGCGTCCAGCAAGGTCTTGATGCTGTTTTAATCCTTTTTGAGGTGCACCGAGTGAGCCAGGGGAAGAGACGGGTACTTGTTATCATTATGGAGCAGCACGGCTTTGAGACTCCTGGATGAGCTGTCAATGAAGAGGCGCCACGCATTCTGGTTGCAGGCGATTCAAACAGACTGGTCACATTGTGGCAGAATCAGAGCCCGTCTTGACGGGTGAAGAAGCTGCAAAACGGTTGGTGACGCTTCCTCTGATTTGCGACTTGCACGCTTTCATCCAACAAGTTCCACTGCTTGAGCCGAGACGTCAAAAACTCGGCATTTGACTTGGTGAGACCAAGATCTCTGATCAGTCGTTGAGGTCGTTTTTGGTTGGGGTAGTATGGGTTTCTCTCCTCAGCTCCACCTCTGAAATTGTCATCTGGATCTACAACGTCTTCCTCGCTCTCTGACTTGCTCTCTCTTCTAGAGACGGCCGCTCTCTCTCCGGAGGAGTGGGTACGGGGAGCTCATGGCAGTGTGGCACCGGGGCGATGGATGAAGGAAGGTCCGGATACGTGATAGGTGCATTCTGGCCAGTCCGACGTTTGGAAGGGTCCACCTTGAGGGGTTAATGGGTTACCGCCAAATTCTTGGGATAGCGAACTTCATTAAAATTGCAAAACATTTTTTAATAAAAAAAACTTTTTACAGTTTTTTTTAATTGGAACAAATTTTATAACATAAAATTCCGAGCAACAATTGTCTATCTTACCTTCCAGAGTTTTTTTGCATTGCCCCCAGGTGAAATGAGGTGCCCAGGGTTTGTCTTGATCCCTGACAGGTATGCCAGAATATGCCTTGTAGGCCTCACACAGCTTAGCAGATGCTTCCACAGAGTACTTATTTGCTCTTGTCTTTATAAATTGGCCACAGACATAGCCAAACGCGTATACCCGATGCTTGCAGCCTCTTGATGCCATCTCAGAAAAATGCAGATATGTATCCACTTAGGCAGCTGGGACTACACTGGACTGGTGGGCTTAAGGCTCCTGTATTTATACTACTATTTATATTACTGGAATGTTCTAGAAGTTACTCCAAGTTTACTCAGTACTGAATTTATCTGGAATGTTCTGGAAATTTTACAAATATCACTCTCCTGGTCGCAAAAGCAAAGCTTGTAGGGAGTAATAGCCATTCTTTGTACTTTTGAGGCATATGCAATTAGGAAATAACACTTACGATCCAGGAACAAAAATAAATAAAAATGTGTTACACAGTGCTATCAACAACAGTGCACATTCCACTCGCCCGCCCTCTTACCCCCTGTCAAGCAGCGAGTGGATGAGTTGGTCACCCATCCTGCGTGACATCGGCGTAAGATCGCTGCACTCTGAACCCTGCCTCCTCCCGCCCCGAGTTCGATTCCCAGCCACGGCTGCTGTGACATCAGCCTGAAGTGACAATCTCAACAGGTCGTGCAGCTCACTCTCTCGCTCTCTGCGTTACGCTTGCTCAACGCCGGTGCCGATCAACAACGGCGGCGAGGCACGGCCAACCCTGCACCCTGCAGCGAGCAACTTGGCCTTTGATGAGGCCTTCATCTCGCAGGGGATGATCCAAAAACTCTGTCCTCGGCACTGGGACAATACACAGGCGCCGTGAGTGAGTGCGTGTCGTGAGTGAGTGTGAGTGTGGTGTGAGTGAGTGTGTGTGGTGTGAGTGTGGTGTGAGTGAGTGTGGTGTGAGTGAGTGAGTGTGGTATGAGGGAGTGAGTGTGGTGTGAGTGAGTGTGGTGTGAGTGAGTGGTGTGAGTGAGTGAGTGGTGTGAGTGAGTGAGTGTGGTGTGAGTGTGTGTGGTGTGTGTGGTGTGAGTGTGGTGTGAGTGAGTGTGGTGTGAGTGAGTGAGTGTGGTGTGTGGTGTGAGTGAGTGTGGTGTGAGTGAGTGAGTGTGGTGTGAGTGAGTGTGGTGTGAGTGTGGTGTGAGTGAGTGTGGTGTGAGTGAGTGTGGTGTGAGTGAGTGAGTGAGTGTGGGGTGAGTGAGTGTGGTGTGAGTGAGTGAGTGTGTGGTGTGGTGTGTGTGGTGTGTGTGGTGTGTGTGGTGTGTGTGTGGTGTGAGTGAGTGTGGTGTGAGTGTGGTGTGAGTGAGTGTGGTGTGAGTGAGTGTGGTGTGAGTGAGTGAGTGAGTGTGGTGTGTGTGGTGTGAGTGTGGTGTGTGTGGTGTGAGTGTGGTGTGAGTGAGTGTGGTGTGAGTGAGTGTGGTGTGAGTGAGTGAGTGAGTGTGGTGTGTGTGGTGTGAGTGTGGTGTGAGTGTGGTGTGAGTGAGTGTGGTGTGAGTGAGTGTGGTGTGAGTGTGGTGTGTGTGGTGTGAGTGTGGTGTGAGTGTGGTGTGAGTGTGGTGTGAGTGAGTGTGGTGTGAGTGAGTGAGTGAGTGTGGTGTGAGTGTGGTGTGAGTGAGTGTGTGGTGTGGTGTGAGTGAGTGTGGTGTGAGTGAGTGTGGTGTGAGTGAGTGAGTGTGGTGTGTGTGGTGTGGTGTGAGTGAGTGAGTGTGGTGTGTGTGGTGTGTGTGTGGTGTGAGTGAGTGAGTGTGGTGTGAGTGAGTGAGTGGTGTGAGTGAGAGTGTGTGTGTGGTGTGTGTGGTGTGAGTGTGGTGTGAGTGAGTGTGGTGTGAGTGAGTGAGTGTGGTGTGTGTGGTGTGAGTGTGGTGTGAGTGTGGTGTGAGTGAGTGTGGTGTGTGTGGTGTGAGTGTGGTGTGAGTGAGTGTGGTGTGAGTGAGTGTGGTGTGAGTGAGTGAGTGAGTGTGGTGTGTGTGGTGTGAGTGTGGTGTGAGTGAGTGTGGTGTGAGTGTGTGTGGTGTGAGTGAGTGTGGTGTGAGTGAGTGAGTGAGTGTGGTGAGTGTGGTGTGAGTGTGGTGTGAGTGTGGTGTGAGTGAGTGAGTGTGGTGTGAGTGAGTGAGTGGTGTGAGTGAGAGTGTGTGTGTGGTGTGTGTGGTGTGAGTGTGGTGTGAGTGAGTGTGGTGTGAGTGAGTGAGTGAGTGTGGTGTGTGTGGTGTGAGTGTGGTGTGAGTGAGTGTGGTGTGAGTGAGTGTGGTGTGAGTGAGTGAGTGAGTGTGGTGTGAGTGAGTGTGGTGTGAGTGAGTGTGGTGAGTGTGGTGTGAGTGTGGTGTGAGTGAGTGTGGTGTGAGTGAGTGTGGTGTGAGTGAGTGAGTGTGGTGTGAGTGAGTGTGGTGTGAGTGTGGGGTGAGTGGTGTGAGTGAGTGTGGTGTGAGTGAGTGTGGTGTGAGTGAGTGTGGTGTGAGTGAGTGTGGTGTGAGTGAGTGAGTGAGTGTGGTGAGTGTGGTGTGAGTGTGGTGTGAGTGTGGTGTGAGTGAGTGAGTGTGGTGTGAGTGAGTGAGTGGTGTGAGTGAGAGTGTGTGTGTGGTGTGTGTGGTGTGAGTGTGGTGTGAGTGAGTGTGGTGTGAGTGAGTGAGTGAGTGTGGTGTGTGTGGTGTGAGTGTGGTGTGAGTGAGTGTGGTGTGAGTGAGTGTGGTGTGAGTGAGTG